GAAACCGGCTGCCCTCAGACTGCTTTCGATGCCGAACATGTTGGCATCAGAGATGAGGATGATCTCAAAGAGCTCGTGGTTCTTGGAGAGGAACTGGAAGAGGTCTGGCATGCCAGGGGACAGGGGGATGGTCTCGTAGACAGTCTTGAAGTCCCCCATCTTGACCCCCTGGTCCCCCATGTATGCCAGGACGCGCTGCATGTACTCGTTGTAGAAGCCCTCGCGGAACGTCTGTCGGATGTGCTCTGGAAGCGCCTGCCCTGGCGCCGCCCGGACGATGGAGTCATCGCTGTTCTCGTTGATGATGGTCTCGTCGAAATCGAAGACGAGGAGGTATTTGGGAGGCCGGGAGCTGGCCATACCAACACCCTGTGAGGTAGAAGGACAACACCCAGCTCTTAGCCCAAGGCACGTCGCTTTGGCCCCGGCCCAGCGATGGTGGCCACCACCGCAGCAGGAGGCTGTGGGCCCCGCAGAGCGATGCTCCTTGGCTACCTTACCCCCAGGCAGCTTATTAGCCCAGCGGGGCTTGTGGGGCAGGACGGGGCGGGGGGGGGTAATCCCCTGCTGACATACCTCGGCCCCGGCCCCTAAGGCGTTTATCCTGCCTATAAAGAGATCATTTTGTCACCGCTAATCCCGTTTCCGCGATCAAGGCGGTCACTGTGCCGAGCTACCACCGCACACGTCCCCCCAAGGGACGCAGGGACAGCGTCCTCGGGGCGGTTTGTGCAGGGAGGGTCCTCGAGGAGGGGGGTTTTTACTCCCCAAACTGCTCCTGTCCCACCTCTGGAAAGGGGTTGGTGTCCCTGCAGACCCCTCCTGCTGCCGGGACAAGTTCGGCTCTTCCCGACGGAGGAAAACATTTCGCAGGTTGAGTTTTAGCTTCGTCACCTGAGCGCGGTTTCCCGCTGGGTCGGGGCTCTGAGCGCACCGCGGGCTCCCAACAAACCCGGGATAACTCAGAGCCGCCTCCTGCCCCGCTCCGAAACCCAAGAACCCACTTTGCCAACGCGGCACAAAGCCGGCGAGCCCCAGCGCAGCCTCCCGCTGCCCACCCGCTCCCCTCGGCTAAAGCCACCGTGGTCCCCGTGCTGCCCCCTCCCCTCCCGGCTGCCCCCGTGCCGCCGGCGGTTTGCAGGATGGTTGTGGGGGGGAACCCCATTCCCGCTCCCTGTCCCCAAGAATCATAGAATGGCTGAGGTCGGAAGGGACCTTTATGATCATCAAGTCCAACCATCAACCAACCCTGACCAAAACCACCACTAAACCATGTCCCTAAGCACCATGGTATGATCAAGTGAAATACTGGTAGATAACACACTTTTCTGGTGACAATCACCCAACACACAAGCTAATTAAATTGTATGCATTTATCTACTCTCCCCAGAAAGGAGGGAGTTGTAGAGGGTGAGAAGGTCTCCCCTCAGCTCCTCTTCTCCAGGCTGAACACCCCCAGTTCCCCCAGTGGTTCCTCAGCAGACGTGTCCTCCAGACCCCGCACCAGCAGAGCGGGGACAGCCGCGTTCAGAGAGGACAAAGCCAGGTGAGAATGGCACTGACCTTAAACAGGCATGGCAGCCCGACGCCCTCGCAGCACCGTTTCATTTTAAGACCATCACTCCGCGGGCAGCGTGGGGCCGAGGGCAGCGCTCAGGGCTCGCCGGGCTGCAAACCACAAAGAAAGGGGAGAAGATGGGTTAACGGTTTGGGTTTTCCCCCCCAACTTTTGCCACCTTTGGCTACGGCACGGCCGGGCTCTACGTCCTGCAGCGAACTCCCGAGCTCGGGACCTTTCGTACCAGGAGCGGAGGAATTAAAGGAGTCTCCGCAGAGCGGGCAGAGCCCGGTTAATGCTTCTCATCCCTCTTAATTCCTCCCCCCCTCCCCGAGCGCCCGGGCTTTGCCGCACGTGAAAGCAGCCGGCGGAACGGCTCGTTAATAAATAAACCCCGGCAACACGCTCCCTCTTCCAAAACCGCCCTGATTTTCTTCCAGTATAATTAGTTTGGGGTGTTCCTTTCAATGGAGTAATTATCCCGGAATGAAAGCGGGCGCCCAGGCAGCGCCGGGGAGGATGTGCCAACGCGCCGCCCCGGAGCGAAGGCAGAGCCCAGGTTACGGCTCCTGATTTTTTGCCGACCTCTTGTGGTTCGCAGCGATGAAAACAGAGCGATGGGAAACCTCAAAAAAAACCCCAACCAAACCCAACCCCAACCTCGCAGCCAAACCTGGCTGGAAACTCAGCGGGATGGTTCGCGGGAGGAATAACACACTGGGACACGGGGAATTTTAACTGGGCACCAGTAGCTCGGCTTGGCTGGGGCCAAGAGGATTACAATGGTGGGTTTTTTTTGTCATCGGCATGGCAACAGGAAGAGTTTTGCAGACGAAGGTGATTTGGGGAGGATTTGTCTGGTTTGAAGCCCGGCATCAAACTATTTTGGGCATAAACGCGATTCATGACTCCGCTAAAATAATAAACCGCAAGGGCGACTCTGAATTAAAGCCCGGGTTGAAATCTTGTAAAAGTGACTTTTTCCGAAACCTTCAAGCCAAACACTGGTTAATTCTTTGCAGCAGCATCCACCAAAACCCGATGTTTATTTACAGACGTCGGTTTGATGCCAAATAACGCTACGGCCAGGCTGGGAGTGGGATTAGCCACCGGGATTTTCAGGTCCAAACCAAGAGAAATAGACAAGAAAAAAAAAAAAAAGATTAAATTAAACACGAAAAAAAAGAGTCATTGTAGTTTTTGTTGGTATATTCTAAAGAGCTGCCAACGGGGAGAAAATAAGTTGGGTCTAAGCCTTAAGGAGCCGTTGTGGTACCGACGCAGCGGCACAGGGAAGGAGCTCCGGAGCGGTCGGTCATCCCCGTGGACACCGTTAGGGGCAGCTGGAAGGGACAGCGTGGACACGGGGAGCTAACCCGACCGCCCAAAAAAAAAACCTCTGCTGGGCCCAAGGGTTTCGCCTTTTGCAAGAGAGGAAGGGCTGACAGCACACGTCGGATTTCGGGCAGATGGGGTCAAACGCAGACCTGAGCACCAACCTCCACGCAATTTATGGTCCCTTCGGCGCTTTTCAGCGGAGGTTCCCCCAAAACCTCCCTTTCACCCGCCCCTCCTCAATTAACGCTCTGTTACGTACATCAACAACTGACCGAGGAGCTGGGGAAAAGCCAGTTTGGTCTCTTTTTGCCTTATTTTAGCTCTGTCTCCTTCCAGAGCTGACCAGCACGAGGTCGGAAGCGGCATCAGACCCTCCTGATCTCACCTTAATTCGCCCCCCGCAGAGCTCCCTGCGAGCTCTTCCCTCCCCTCCCCACCTCCCCGGCATCCCTTCGCTCTCCCCAAAGCACCGCGGCCACCAGGAGCCCCAAAGGGGATAAATCCAGCTGGAAAAGAGCTGGAAAACAAACCCGGTTCCTCTCCCGGGCTCCTCGCCCCGCTGTCCCCGGCACTGCCACCGCCGCTGCCCAGAGCCTCCCGCAGCCCCGGGGGCTCCGAGCCAAACGCTCCCCCATCGTGAGGCCACCGGACCATTTCCCCCCCCCCACCAAGGATTTCTAAGGAAAACGGTAATCCGTGAAGCCCACCGGCAGGAGCATCCCTGCCACGCTTCTGCGAGAGCCGCCGCCTGCTCTCGGCCATCCCCAACGCTCCTATTAATTGTTACCAAAATGCGCATTGCTTTTATCCTATTAATTGTTACCAAAACGTACATCGCTTTTCTGGCAAAAGGGAAATTAAAATCTAAGCCAGCGTTATTTAGCGAGTAAAGGTCCGGGATGGGACTTCTCACCACCCACCGGCCTCAGGGGGGGCTGTTGGGGAAATTACATTCTTCCCCCAAGCGCTGTTTTCCCCTTATGATATAGAAAAGGGAGATGGCAGCGTTAAGAGCCACTCTTAATAACCCGACGCTCATCCTCTGGGCTTTGGCAGAACCCACCTCCGACCCCGACTCTGCCCCGCGCAGGAGAGAAGCGGAGAGGAGAGGGGAAAAAAAAAAACCCAACCACAAAACCACTTAGCAAATCTCCCAGTCCTAAATTACCCCGTTAAATCCGGGCAGGAGCAACGAAATCCCCGCAGGACGGTGTCAGCGCTCTCGGCAGAGCTATTTCTGCGCCGGGATGACTCACCCGGCGGCTGCTTCCCGGGAGCGCGTCCCTCCACCTTCCGCCCAAAAGGGACTCCCTCCGAAATAAAGGAAAAGCGGCCGCGTGTCCTAACATGGGGCGAAGCCTGAATGGCGAAACAGAAAATAAACCGGGATATTTCCTCAGCGTCCGCGTCAACCGTAAAGGCTTAAACAAACTGCGTTTGGGATGGGGGTCAAAATACGCCTATTCAAAGCGGTGAGCTGCTGCGCTCGCCGCCAGAGTCATTTCCCAGGGTAGTTTATCCCTAAAATCTCAGTGGGTTTTTTTTTTTTCCCCTCTAGCAATACCTCCATCCCATCGGGATCCTTCCGCCCCGAAAAGACCCACGGAGCAAAGGCTGGAGCTCAGCAACATTCGCCTCCCTCGTTATCTCCGCAGATCAGCTTCGGGCTTAACGCCCGGAACGGGTTCAGCGCAGGACACACGAGGAGCAGCGCTGCGCCACGCGCCCGCCCCCCGCCGCAGGATCCGGCCCCACGCGAGCCCCCACGCGAGCCCGGACGGGGACCAGCACCCAATTTTGGAGCCGGGACCTACTGAACCCTCAAAAGTGAAGGGGTTTGGGGGCATTTCCCAATTGCAGTTACAGGCTCTGCGCTGCTTTAACCCCCTGGCGTATTCTGCTCTTTCCTATTTTTAACATTTTTAACCTTAAAAAAAATTTTTTTTGATGTTTCTGGTGGGTACAACATGTATTTTTTTTTAATTTTAACCCAGAACCCAACCACTGACCTTTGGCAAACGCGTTCGCCCACCCCTTAGGATGGTATTAAGGGCAAACTGAGAGGACGGAGTCCTGCTGCCCCCAAAGCAAAGCCGGGGGGGAACCTCCCTCTCCGGCACGTCATCGGGATGACGAGACGATTTCACCCCTCCCGGAATAAAACTCAACCTGCTCCCGTCCCCGGCCAGTGCCACAGCTCCCAAAAGAGAGCAAATTAATGATAAATCACGGGCCAGCGGAGCTCGGAGGGGTCCCCGACCCCCTCCACATGCCGCGGTGTCACCTCACCCCTTCTCCTGCCCCGCGCCTCCCACTTCCCCCCCAAAATCCCCCCGGGCAGAGCTGCGGGGGAGCGGGAACACCTTCTCCCGCCGACACGGCCGCGACGCCGCGGTCGGTCACTTCGGGTGATTGGGGATGGTCCTT